CAACCGTAAAATATTAAGTAAAAAAAAAAAAAAAAGTGCGTATTATAAGGTTTCCCGTATTTTTTATTTATTTTTTTTTATTTGAATCAGTTGAGAGGATGGGTCTGCGGAGCGAATAAAACAAACAAACAAACAAATAAAAATGTGTAGTGAAACCATGAAAATGAACATGCACGTGCACTGTGCGAGTCGAACGTAATGAAACACTGTTGTGCTGTAATAACTTTATCGGTACGAAAGCAAACAGTACGAGTGCTATAAGAAATCGAGCTTGGGAAGCTTGCAAACGCCCACATAGAGGGCAGTGCATGCAGAATTATAACTATTTGTATTCTTCTTTTTTTTTCTATTTCGGTAATTTGCTAAATAAAGTAAACGTACCAATTTTTGAGAGTCCTTCCAATATATACATATTATTCATTTGACATCAGATTATATATATATATATAGTTCCTTACGTGTGTAGAGCATAGCACACGGACCAAAGAGTTGTCCATCACTATGGTTACCAGCTGAAAGCCCTATTAATAACATATTTGCACGCGCGCACTTATTTAATGTTTGCACAGATCAGCCGAATAACAATAAACGAGCACGTGACAGTTTGCGGTATTGAATAACCAGAGTTAAATGCGCATGAGCAACAAGTAATTCAATATTTGTCTCACAAACCCAACTTTAACTATTTACATATATATATATATATTTATAAATTAATTGTTTTAACGGAAATCAATCTTGACGGATCTCCAGAAGTTTGACTTTTGTTAATTCTCCAGTGGTTGACGGTAACAGCCAAGTATATCACGAGTTATAAGGAATGAATCTTCTAGGTTTCCTTCAGTTGACTGAAGCAAAAGTAGATACAACAAGAAATAACAAACAAACCCTGTTCTCGGCGGTTTGTCGAAAGGAAAGTCACACAGTACTGCAGTGTTTAATGTTGGAAATAAACAAATAAAAAAGATAAAGAAAGTTGGTTCAAAAATTTCGTTCAAAGCTACACAAGGGTTATCTATCTACGCATAGCTGTTCTTAATTATGAAATAAAGGCAAAGCTCTTCACAACAACAAATACTGATCGAATTTTGAGATTTGACAGTTATTCTTTTATCAGAGCGCATTTATGCTACAATGAGTCGCGAACAATGAATTCACAGTTCTGGGCACACTAACCACTCGTCACACCCGGTCCAAGGTGAATAAGATATGAGTAATAAATGTTGCTGGAAAACTAGATAGTTAAAAGTTAGTTCACCAGGTGGACACCAAAAGATATATGGGTGAAAGTGGGGTAAGACGGTCCCCGCTATATATCATTAGTTATTACATGATGTCATCTTGAGTGGATTATACGTAACTATTGTTCAGATGATTCCGTGTATCAACACACTGGCGGACTGACGCTGATGTGCCTGATCAAAGCGCGACTTAATGTATATGAGCGATAAGTCACGTGGATATTATACAGATTCGATATCACGAAACCTGGGATAACTGAAGCGTCTCATTCATGTAAAAATCTGCAGACATCTTCAAGTCTTGTTAAAGCAACTTTCTCAGATAATAAATTATAAAGAATTGTTTTCAACTTTAGTCGAAACCTGGACCCATCTTCAACTCATTTTAAAGAAATTGTAAGTCATAAAAAAGGGGGGTCGTTTTACCCTCAGTTCACTCATGGGAAGGCAATCGAACGTTATACAGAAAAATCAATGAACTTAAACTGTGTTTCTTTCACAGGCAGGATATGTAGATGTCCATAAGCCTTCATTGTTTGAATTCAACAAAGTGAAATTCCCTGAACTAGCTATTTTGTAACTATAAAGATTTGAAAGTGATGATCTTAAATCAAAGTTGTTCAAAAACCAAAAAAAAATTTCAGATATTATGTTAGGTCTTGGGAAATATAAGCTCCGGGTATGACAAATTAGATAAGATCAAGCGTTTCTCGACTACTTTTTCCTGGTCACACCTCGGACGGTCCAAGTCTTCGGCCTCTACGTTCTATTGTTCACAGGGAACCAAGAGTAACTTTAAAGTGTGGGAGATGGTTTATTAAGATTGACCCAAAGCGGTCGCTGATAGCAATAATAACATCTCAGAAGTTATCTCCATTACTTCTAGTACTGTTACGCATGCGTGCAGCTAAATTTTTCAAGAAGATTGCGTTTCTGACTGCCAGTTCACATTGCTATTGACGTAATCCGTCCCGTCCTGAATAAGGGTTAGACTGGGCCAAAGCCTTTTGTTTTCTGAAACAATAAAAACTACAAGATGCTTAGGTGGATTACCGTTTAGTGTACAACTTTAATTTCTATTGATTTTAGAGGAAATAAAAATTAACATATCTTGAAATATTCTGAAGAATTAGCAGTATGAACGTTTTTTTGTTCGTTTGTATCTGTCTCTATGTTTAAATTATTGGGAATTGTTCGTTTGTATCTGTCTCTATGTTTGAATTATTGGGAATTGTTCGTTTGTATCTGTCTCTATGTTTAAATTACTGGGAATTGTTCGTTTTTATCTGTCTCTATGTTTAAATTACTGGGAATTGTTCGTTTGTATCTGTCTCTATGTTTAAATTACTGGGAATTGTTCGTTTGTATCTGTCTCTATGTTTAAATTACTGGGAATTGTTAGTTTGTATCTGTCTCTATGCTTAAATTATTGGGAATTGTTCGTTTGTATCTGTCTTTATGTTTGAATTATTGAGAATTGTTCGTTTGTATCTTTCTCTATGTTTAAATTATTGGGAATTGTTCGTTTGTATCTGACTTTATGTTTAAATTACTGGGAATTGTCCGTTTGTATCTGTCTCTATGTTTAAATTATTGGGAATTGTTCGTTTGTATCTGACTTTATGTTTAAATTACTGGGAATTGTCCGTTTGTGTCTGTCTTTATGTTTAAATTACTGGGAATTGTTCGTTTGTATCTGTCTCTATGTTTAAATTACTGGGAATTGTTCGTTTGTATCTGTCTCTATGTTTAAATTTTCTGGAGGACAGCTATTTAAAAACACCTACAGTCAAGACTTGGGCCTTTCACGTATCATCATGACCCCAAAATGCGGAGTGTGTTTTTATGGCACGGGTCGCGTATCACGAATTATTTGATTCAAACTCTGGACACGATAACCATTAGGCAATGGGCGGCAGGGGCTGTGAAAGAGAAAACCAACATAACACATGCATCATAGTGGATAGTGTAACATAATGTTTCCACCATTTTCTAAGCTATATATATTCTCTGTTGCCATTCCAAAACTCTACTATTAAGCTTTCACGCATAAAATTCCAATGGAAAAGTATTCAGTGATAAAGGATCGCGGTATCTAACTGACTCTGGAAGTTATTTTCCGAATTAGAAAGCTTTGGAAATTCTCAAAGAATCTTTCAGGGCCACTATAAAAAAAAAAGGGGGGGTGAGGCCTCGAAAGGTGTGTTCTGCGAAACTACGGCCCAAGGGGCTAAGGCCTGCACGAATAAGGCGTACCGCTCACGAAATTATAATAATAATAATAATACAAACGACAGAAGGTTGTCCTGGATATTCACATGTTTAAACCTAAGGTATCGACTACACCTATATTCATAACGTGGAAACATTTGAAGACGTCTTCATCAGTTGGCCAGTCACGCCCGGACAGAGATTCATTATCTTCGTGCTGGTCAGTTAAAAATTATGATCATCTACATTTAGCAGATCTAGTTTTTAGACAGTGTATGGCGCGAGACCGGAAATCATGTAGGTAATTATGCTCTCTCTCTCTCTGTCACACACACACACACACATGTAATATATATATTACACATTATATACTAACTGATACCATGTA